TTCGTATATATAAATTGTATATATAATACTCGAGAAAATCCTCCTTTTCTATTCTTCTTGCCCTAATATTTTATTTCGTGAATTAACGCCAACTATATTTCGAGATTCGTATATATAAATTGTATATATAATGCTCGAGAAAATCTTCCTTCTCTATTCTTTTTGCCCCTATATTTTATTTTGTAAATTAGTTTGAAATTAACACGAATATATTTATATTCGTATATTATGTTATATTCAATATTTCCTATTCGAGATTCGTATATATAAATTGAATATATAATGCTCGAGAAAATTCTCCTTCTCTATTCTTCTTGCCCCAATGTTTTATTTTATAAATTAATTCGAAATTAAGACGAACAATATTTTCGATTCGAGATTCGTATATATAAATTGTATATATAAAAATCTTTCTAAAATGTTTAAGATATGTTTCCTCTTGTAAAGGAAACGCTTTGCTCGAGAAAATTCTCCCTTCTCTATTCTTCTTGCCCCAATGTTTTATTTTGTAAATTAGTTTGGAATTAACACGAACAATATTATATAAATTGTACATATAAGTAAAAATCTTTCTAAAATGATCAAGATGTGTCTCTCCATGTGATGGAAATTCGAGAAAATCCTCCCTTCTTTATTCTTCTTACCCCAATGTTTTATTTTGTAAATTAGTTTGGAATTAACATGAACAATATTATATAAATTATACATATAAGTAAAAATCTTTCTAAAATATTCAAGGTATGTCTCCTTTTGTGAAAGAAACGCTTTGCTCGAGAAAATCCTCCCTTCTCTATTCTTCTTACCCCAATGTTTTATTTTGTAAATTAGTTTGGAATTAACACGAACAATATTATATAAATTGTACATATAAGTAAAAATCTTTCTAAAATGATCAAGATGTATCTCTCCATATGATGGAAACTCAAGAAAATCCTCCCTTCTCTATTCTTGCCCCAATGTTTTATTTTGTAAATTAACACGATATTCGAGGTTCGTATATATAAATTGCATATATAAAAATCTTTCTAAAATGTTCAAGATGTGTCTCTCCACGTAGAGGCAATTAAAATTGCGGAAATGAGCTCGTGACAGGTTAAACCACTCTTTGCAAAATCGATCGAATTGAATATCGAAAAAAAGAAAAAAGGAAAAAGCTTTATTACATCCGCGATCACATTGGAAATTGTTAAAGAAGAGAAATGGAAGAGGGATTCTCGGGTGAACCTCGAGCAAGAACTATCTGTTGTTTTACGATAATGTGCAATTACGCGAATGGATAGAACGGTGACCCCGTGAGGGAGCACAATGCTCGACCCCTTGCAACTTGTTGCACTTGATTCACCAGTAAACTAGAAAACGCGTAAAGTCGTTTCACATTCTTCGTAATATCGAAGAACAAGATTCGACGATCACGAGTTGCAAAAATCGAGGGAAGCGATCGATTGCAATCGAGAATGTCGTTTAATTTTTATTATTTATTTATTTATTTATTCATTCATTTATTTTTGCTCTCTTGAACCTTTCCAATATAATTGTATGAATATTATCGAACATTTAAGAGAGAGGGAGAAAAAAGGGAGGAGAAAGGAGGGGAAAAGAAACGGGGAGAATTAAACAACGTAATTTTTGTCTTTTAATTTTTATTGNTTTATTTATTTATTTATTCATTCATTTATTTTTGCTCTCTTGAACCTTTCCAATATAATTGTATGAATATTATCGAACATTTAAGAGAGAGGGAGAAAAAAGGGAGGAGAAAGGAGGGGAAAAGAAACGGGGAGAATTAAACAACGTAATTTTTGTCTTTTAATTTTTATTGTTTATTTATTTATTTATTCATTCATTTATTTTTGCTCTCTTGAACCTTTCCAATATAATTGTATGAATATTATCGAACATTTAAGAGAGAGGGAGAAAAAAGGGAGGAGAAAGGAGGGGAAAAGAAACGGGGAGAATTAAACAACGTAATTTTTGTCTTTTTCAGTCGAGTGATTCCGGTGGTTTTCGTGAACGCAGATCATCACCCCAGGCAGTCGCAATGGCCACCCTATCCTTGCGTATCTCCATCCCGGAGAAAAACGCCACGAAGATGATGCAATTCGACCCGAGCACATCCATTTACGACGCTTGCCGTATTATCAGAGAGAAACTCGCTGAAGCGAGTAACATGGGCCAACGTAAGCTTCTACTTGCATCTGAAATATTCAACGACGTTCTACTAACGAACACGCGAATTTGCATTTTTCCCTTCCCTTTCATTCCTTCTTTCCTTTCTTCTTTACGAACGTACGCACGCGATTAGAATTTTAAATTGCAACATATTTAAACATATTTAGTATATGGAAGTATAAATAAGATTTAAGATCAATCACGTATGATTCATCTTCTACTTAATTAATTAATTCTGAAGGAAAGAATTAGAATTAATTGATTTTCATCTAAAAAAAAAAAAAAAAAGAAAGAAGAAGAAGAAAAAGAAGAAAAATTCAGATATTTTTCAACGATGCAGAAGTATACAGCCTCATACGATCGTAATAACCGCGTAATTCTTGCCTCGACAGCGAAGGACTACGGATTATTCCTTGCCGACGAGGACGTGAAGAAGGGAGTTTGGCTGGAGCCAGGCCGGAATCTCGATTATTACATTCTGAGGAACGGCGATCTGCTCGAGTACCGGCGTAAACTGCGGACCCTTCGAGTGCGCATGTTGGATGGAACGTTGAAGACGTTGTTGGTGGACGACAGTCAGCCCGTCGCCAATCTCATGGTAGTAATTTGTACGAAGATAGGCATCACGAACCACGATGAGTACTCGTTGGTACGCGAGCTGGCCGATGAGGAGACCGAGAACCAGAAGCCCGGCAATTTCGGCACCCTCACGCTCAAGAGGAGGAAAGAGGAGAAAGGCGAGCGGGATGCGAAGATGGATCAGTTAAGGAAGAAGCTTAAGACCGACGACGAAGGTGAGACGAACCGCTTTAATTGTAAAAAATTTCGTTTTATTAAATTGAAGGGG